ACAAGTATATTTTCACTCTACGTATTGAATGAGCGAGAGGAAAGCAATCGACATGAACCCTCTAAAGCAGGGACCAGACTCCAATCTGGACGTCAGTGATCAGTTATAGTACACCAAAATAAATAAGTTATAGATTTCTGTAATTTTAAACATTTACTTCTTAAAATTTAAGCCCAAAGAGATGTTTTGACAGATATCTTTGTGTTGTAATAGCACTTCATTTTCTAAATAACATATCTCAAAGTGGGTCATATATGACCCGTGATATGAAAGGAGTTTAACCTCCCTGCACCATTGTCTATGTTCACTTTTTTTTAAACAAACACAAAACTACCCACAACATTTTGTTATTTCAATTCATCATTTGTAAGTTATGTTTTCTTAATCCCATGGAAAACATGAATGAAAGTAATATATTTTTTAATTGAGCTGATTTCATCATTTTAAATCCAATCAAAAGCTACATGCAGAAGCAAGTCAACATATTTAAACTGTGAAACACTGGAAGTTCGTTATGTTGACTTGATCACTAATTATGTGCTGATGTTCTGCAGATATGATGCTTAAAATGAGACGCAGCACTGCAGTTTAAGTAAGGCGGAGGTGATGAGAATCGCATTACATTTGCAGTTTTTGAATATTTTTGGAAGAGTGAAATATTTTCACCAGCTGAGATGAAGAATCGGGTGATCCCTGCGGTTAGTAAGATTAATAATCTGGGAAACAGACGACTCAAATGTCTGTACAACAGTGTCATTGCCAGTTATTCCACTTGGAGCTAAGATGTTTAGCTTTTCCATCTAGAGCAGTGTGGTAGAATCTGACTGGTTGCATTAGATCAGACACTTTTAGAAATAAATGCATTTCTTTGAGTCACTGCAATTATATTGAGACATTTTGTAGATTTAGGAAATGAAACTTCTATAAATTACTAAAATTTAATTTTAGTTAACTAATGCTGCTGTTTTTCTCCCGTGACACAGCACTTCTCTGGACTTATATTAATTGCAAAGCACCGGACTGGCTGTGCAGCTGTCCTATTGTTTGTAGGGGTCTGCCAGTTGCCCTACAGTGCCTGACAGAACATTTTCAGTCAGCAAGAGCAGTTTCTCATCCTCTTTGCTGGAATCCCCTGTGCACTCCCTCAAAGATTAATCTTAGGTCCCATCCTTTCACAGCACGCTTCCTCTTTTTCAGATCATTCAGACACAAAGCATGAATTTCACGGCAAAGGGTGTGAAATACATGCATCAAAAGCCCCCTTGAAACTGCAGGTGGGGCTATGTTTGCATCCAAAAAACAAGAAGATGAGTTTCCTGATGCTATTGTGCTTACCTTTATTTAATTCAATCCGATTTGGATCCTGTTTTATTCTTGATAACTAAAAAAAGTGCTATCATGAGCTATGCTGCCTTTGTTTGTACTTGCTGCTTATATATCTGCCTAATAAACTGTAGTATAATATTCTATAATTCTATAATAAGTGATTCATGTCCAGTTATTTACTAATCAGTATCTCTCAACTATTCCCTACCCCCAAATAATGTTTATTATTATAATATTTGGAATGCTGTAATTTAAAAATAATGTACTACTAGCTATAGTAACCATGTGCACATAATATAGTATTTTGGCTTTTTTTCTGTCTTTTTTTCTGCTTCTATTTTTTAATATATCTCTAATTGACCTTTTCTTCCTGTGCCTTGTGCTGCTGTAACAAGTGAATTGGCTAAAGAGGAATCAGATCTGTTACCATTAATTTTATACTGTTATGTGTCATCTTTGATGCTGTATGTTTTTATATTTATTTGTTGTCATGTGTTTTCTTCTTGTACTGTGAATTTTCATGTTGTAATTTTACATATTGCTGTCTGAACCATACTGCTGTACACTGTCTGATGTTGTGTTAACTTTCCTATTTATATTTTTTTGCTCTGACCTGGCAGGTGAAAAGTGGCATGTTGTTCATTAATATGCACTGTTCCCTTTAAATAAATCAACTGAATTAAAATGTATATACAAAATACAACACCCTTAATGTAAGGTTTCCTCTTCTTTCCGCTTCTTTTTAAAATGTTTTACTCAACTATTGCAACCAAACTGGGCTCATCTTCAAATCTCTTCTCATCTCTTACTCAATTTTAGTTCCACAAAAACTACATTGGGTGTCTGGAGAAGTCACGAAACTCACAGGTAGCATTTAAATCTCTTTTCATCTGTGTCTGATCTCACGTGAGATGATCTTTAAGGGCAGCAGCAGAGTTTTGGCTGCACACTGTAAAAGCATTTGGGGAATCGTATGAGTCAAAGTGATGCAAAGAAGCTCTGAGTATCGTGACTAGACGGCGAACAACGTGCTTTAACGTGGGTGAACTTAAAACCAAATGTGCTAAATTATGCCAGCTGGAAAACACGACTCCTTTTCAGCACATTTTATTACATTTGAATCACATCTAGGTGATAGACTTCTCTAGTGGATTGAAAAAAAAGAAGAAAACTTTCATTTTCTACCTGAATGTGAAACTGGTGGGGATTTCTGTCACATAAATGAGCCAAACCGATGTTAAACAGCGGCTTTCTCTGAACCACAGAAATGGGGACCTGATAGTACTGACAAGCCACCTTGCTCTGTCGTATATTACACAACCCATTAAGAAAGAAGGTCGAAGGGACAATAAGAGAAAAAGCATATGAATAAAAAAAGAAGCGCGAGCTCTTAAGAACGCACAGACAGGAAGTCAAGACCCTTTTCCTGATGCACCACAGAACTGTGGGTAAGCTTAAAGACGGTAAACAAGGCACGCACGTCTGAACATCACGTGATCAAACTACATGTGTTTATATGATGACTGTAAAAGTTTCCTGTCTAAACTTTGTTGGTGTTTTTTTTTTATTATTGTGCCATGTGTTGGACTGCCTGATTAACGGCTATACTTTCAGTTTTATCGAAACTGTAACTCTAATGCTTTCTTAATTTGAGTTTAATCTTGAGTTGCCATCAGATTCGAGATGAATAGCGCATTTATCAGGCAGCTACGAGATTCATCTCTGCAGCTTGTTTACTGTCGAGGGGTTTTTCTGGCTCGTAGTTGAAAAATAGTTCCGTTCGGGGCAAAGGGTGGGAAGCATTCATGCTTTCAGTCTGCCGATCTGGCCAAACAGTTTCTCTTCTGCACAATCACTTCCTGTTTTTTTGTTGTTTTTTTGTTGTTTTTTTTACCAGCTGGTCTGAGGTGAACTCACAAACACATATCTGTGTGTGTTCTCTAAGCTACAGAATCTTGTAGCTCTTGAGTGCTCAAGACAGTAGCCTCTCATTAAACAGGAAGCCAACGTATCTAGCAGCACCAGACCACAACTCAGAAATATCAACACCTGCAACCCAAACTGAACAAACACAACTGAGATCATCTATTTATTTGCATGTTATGTGACTTGCTAAGAAAAAAGTCTGGCACAGAATTCAGAGAAAAGAAAAACCTGTTTTGTCTGTTTGCTAATGTTAGTTGGTGAACAGTTGTAAAGTCACGCTGCTGTTGTTGTTGTTGGCCCCTGCATTTCCCCTTTCTATGGTAGTACTACCGCCGTGGTTCGGGATCCACTTCCACGATGAGCGCGGTGTCTTTGTTCACTGATTGTGGTAAAGCTTAAGTACAAATAGTCTTAAACAGATATAAGAAAACAGGAAGGCAGGCTTCCCAGCAAGATTTTCACTTTGACAGAAGACGGCAACATTTTAAGAAGAAGAAAAAAATTGTCTGAAGAAACACGATTAATTTTGTTATTTAAGATGTTTGACTGGCTGCCAGCTGGAATCTACTGTCTTTCCTCCCCCACAAAATATCTGCTTCTTTACATTTATTTGCATCTATAAATTCAGACATAAATAACTGGGAATGTACTGAATTAAACTCTGTGTGAATTCCAAAAACTAAAAGCCTCGTCTGATCTATTTTGGCTCATGAAACTCGCAAAAGTGGAAGGAAATCAAAAGAGGAAATAACCTACTTTAATTTATCTTTGTTCATTTAATAAATTACTTATGTTTTATTACTCTCACTGACGGGTTGGCAAAGCTTTCCTAAATTGATGATGTTGCCAAATCAAGAGGCAAAATGATGATTCCATCGATTAATCTATAGATTTATTACACGAATAACTGGTTAATTAGTTTGTCTATAGAATAAGTGAGACTGTTTTTTTCTCCTTAAAGCCAAAAAGGTTGCATTGGACTCCTCTTTAACGTCTATACCATGATTGAAATTAAAGCATCAGCTTACAAACTATGTCCTTATTACTCAAAAATATGCCTCATTCATGTCACTCATTCATAAAATGAAACAAGCCAAATGTTGCATCCCTCACAAGATTTTCAAATATATCCCCTCAGGAGGGGGGGGATCGTTTTGTGGATCCACATTGTGGTATTGCTACTTTGAAAGATTTCCACCACTACCGCTACCTTCCAAATCCCACGTTGCCTTTGTAGTCACGTGTGACAACGCGTTGTAATATATATATATATATATATATATATAGTTTACCATCGACTCGGTGACGCACTGAGTCCTCCTCTTATTTAACATCGAGAGAATTATTAAACATCTCTTTCATCACAGGCTTTTACTCACGCAGGTGCTCCCCTGCTGCCTGTATACGGAAAATAAATCAGCGTTAATAGCGTGAAAGTTCCAGAAAGTGACTCACTTTTCAGACACCAAACATGCCCTCATACCTGCTTGTTACTAATTCGGCTTCTACTTAAATTCTTATAAATTGGTTTTAGCTAATTGTTTCATTCTTTAGCTTAAAATAATTTTTTAAAGTCTCCTACATACATCACCTAAGACAGGAGGAGGGCGGGAGGTGGAGAGAGCGGTGTACTTTCACTTCGCGCAAACTTTTGGCGGACGGTCCCTTGGCTCGCGCGCAGAGAGAGAGAGAGAGCGAGAGAGCTGGTGAGGCAGCGCGCAGCCGCTCATCCGTCAGGGTCAGCGCAACATCAGCGCCTGACTGACTGACAGCGCACAGCACCGAGGCAGGGAGGCACTCCACTGCTTCTCAGGAGCCGTACGAGCGCTCGGATTTACAGCCCCTCACCCTGCTCATCTCCTCCTTACGGATAGATCCTGCAGCCGCCGGATCTGAGCGACCCACGTCTCCGTGATGTTCCGTCTTCCATCTTCACTGCGATAAAAAAAACAACAAAAAGAAGAAGACGGGGGGAAAAAGGGGGAAAAGCCATGAAGAGATGACCGGGTTGTAGAGCTGACAGGCAAGTGTGTGCGCTAACAGGTTGGCAAGGCTTTCGCCATGACACAAGTTTTACTGACAACGGCGCAGCGTCACGTTTGCGTGTTGGATTGGATGCGCCGTATCTTTTTATTTCCATTCTAGCCTTTCATTTCAAAATATACAGATATATCACAGCGTATCTGACATCCATCCGGTCCCGTGAGCTTCATTTTAAAAGCTTAACATTTATTTATTTATCATTGTTTAGGCTGTGGGCACAAGTCAGCCTACATCTGTTATTCACATGCAGCGCACACAGCGCAAGTTTCCTCTTACCAAAGAAAATCAATAGTGTAGAATTACTTTACGTTGCAAACCCTACTTGTTCTCGTTGCACACACACTTCGTTACATTTGCGGGAAGCAGAAGCACATTTTCATTTTTCTGATTTGCATTTTATTCATCAGATGTACCAGAAAGCTGAAGTTTCTTTAAGCGCCGTTTCACCTGATTTGACCCTTGAATATTTCCTTCTGATCATTAAAGGCAGAACTGCACGTAGTAAAAGTGATAGAAGCACTCAGGTCGTCTTAATCTTTATATATATATATCTACATCTGTGTGCTCTTATATCACCATCAGGAGGAAGGGGATCAGGTGCAGGCCAGGCCCTTCAATAAGCTACCATTCATTCATGTTATTCTCAACCTGCACATCCTCTTCCTTTTTCAGCTACAACCTCTTAAAGATGCATTATCCAGTGTTTTGGGAACAAACAGCAGACAGCTCATGCAGGGACACTTGTTAATAGTGGAAACATATTAACCCCGGCTGTGCTTGCTCTGTGTGTGGACAGCCGGCTCGTGTTCTGGTGAGCAGCAGAGGAGCTGGCAGTAAATGAGAGGCCGTCACCATGCCCCCAGGGAAGTATGGGATGCAGGAGGAGTGGGAGAAGGAGGGGGACCAGGCGATCAACATGGACTTCCTGCTGCCTACTGGGATCTTCCTCAAATTCCCCGTGTCTCGAAACGACACCATCAAAAACATCAAAAAGGTACAGTGTCCCTCCCACCCCAACCCAACGCTCACATGCATCGGCATCTGCTTTTAAAAGGGTCTCTGAAACCTCAACTCCTCACTGATACGTCATGTGTAATGTAATCGCACGTTGCGTCTATTATTAGAGAGCACTGTATTTCCAGGAGACTGTAATTGATTGACTGCAGCATAACAGCTCAGACGCTCAGACTGCAAAATCTTGTTGTCAGTCACAATAATACGCTTTTAAACAAATTGGTTGACTTAATGTTTTCTTCAGACATTAAACTAATTAAAACGCAGCCCCCGCTCAGACAATGCTCCCCGGTTCTGATGCTTCCGACAGAGAGGGAGCTTGCAGCTTTCCTCCCTGGGAAACACAGCCAGCACTCTGCCGAAGCAGATCTGCTGTTAAAATGTGAACGTGCTGCTGAACGGGCCAACACTTCTGCCACTTCGGGCTGTTTGATTTAGCTGCTATTAGGATGATTAAAAGATGAAATGGCCCTCCAGTCACTGCTAATTCACTAGGAATTTTAGGAAAGCTTTAGAAACAATGATTTTCTTGCTTTATTTCAGCTCATTAGATTAATCAGAGGATCATTTGCTTTTGTTTTAATTTTGAAAACAGTAACTGGACAGTCTTGGTTTTTTTTCTCATGAAAACTGGGCACGGCGGGTCATCAGAACTGGGGCTCTCGTGTTCATTTATCCCTCTTGTCTCTTATTTCAGATGGTTTGGAAAAATGCGAGAAGTGAGGCCCTGTTCTGTGGACTCGGCGATCCTGATGGATACGTCTTCACCTGCATCAACGAGACGGCGGAAAGGGAAGAGCTGGAGGAAGAATCGAGGCGCATAAGTGATGTGCGGCCCTTCATGTGTGTTCTGAGGCTGGTGGCGAGGGAGGGCGACCGGGTGGAGAAACTCACCAACGCCCAAATCAGCCTGTTAATTGGCAAAGGTGGGCCTCTGCAGTGTCTATAGAGGGGTTTTTTTTTGTTTGTTTTTTTGTTGTTTGCTTTTAAGGGTTTGTGGTACTGTTCTATGAGATTAAATCAGTCATGATTACAGAGAAGAGTCATTAAGCTACAGAGATATTCCAGTCTGGCTCGAGTCCCCTGAATTGCTGCCCAGTCTACTAGATTTCTCAGAGTCAGACAGAACAAGTGACTGTATGCATTTAAAAAAAGAGAAATGAAATGAGAGTTTGTGACTTGCAACACTCATCCTGATAACGTCTTAATGTTTGCACAGCAGCTTTGATCTCATCCACTTGTTACCATTACTGTGGCTCTGTTATGTTCTTAGTGCCACAAAAAATGTCTTCTTTTGCTCAGTTGTTGATCCAGACCCCTGCAACAAGCGCCACAGCACACTTACAGCATGTGAACTGATGAAAAGTTGCTGTGGTTGTAGTTTTGAAGCCTTGGTTTGGAGAGTTAAAATGCTGATTGGAACAAAAGTATTCATATTTTTCTGAGACTAGAAAGTTAGCAGAATAACACTTTGCTCAAAAGGAGGAACGATTAACAAAAAAGCATTTTCTTTCTGAGTTACCGTATATCCAGGATGCTAATCTTCTTTTTTTTTTTTACAAGTAAAGCAGGTTGCTGGCTAGCTATAAGCCAAGAATGTCAAATATAAAGCCTAGGGGCCAAAATCTGACCAGCAGAGATTTCAATCTTGCCCGCTTCACAGCTTTGAAAAATGTGAAGGTTTAAATTTGAGATATAGGTTTTACAGCCATTGCCGTTCATATTACACAAAAGTAATCATTAAATGACAGAAGCCTTCTTGTTTTTTCACTGCTGTAGGAATTTCTGGTTTTTACAGTAGGTTCACAGTTATTAAAAATAATTATTCTGTGAATTAACCAAAGATACTGTAAGCTAATGTAGCTAACCTGAAAAAGTAGGGCTCGGCTAGGCTAACTAGCTAAAGCTAATTTATTTGTTTAGCAATCCCCCCCTCTATTCTCATGTATTCTGAATATATTATGAGTGTAATGATAATTATTCTTTAGATAGTTATAATATGATTCCACTCATATTTTACGTGTAATTAACTTTTGAAAATTTCAGGGATAAAGTTTTCAAATATACAGACGTAAAGCTAAACGTGGCTAATAGCATTGTTACATTTTAGCCTATGTTTCTTATAGATTTAGTCAGTGAAAATTTGCTATTCTGATGGCATAATTTCTTTTCTGTGTTTTCTTTATTCATCTGAAAGTTTTTCGTGTTTCAGTTAATTAAATGATAAGCTAAGTTCTCCTTTTACTTTTTAACCAACTTTCCAGGTCTGCATGAGTTTGAAGCTCAGAAGAATGACGAGGTAATTGAGTTTCGGACCAAGATGAGGGCGTTTTGCGAAGAAAAGGCTCAAGATCGACAGAGTCTGCCCTGGCAGAAGTGGATGGAGTACAGCTTCCCATGTGAACTGGAGCCATGCCGCTCCCTGCCGCAGAGCCTCAAGTCAAAAAACAGCAAGAAGATCTTCATTAATGTCAAGTTTGAGGCTTCTGACGTGAGTTCATCAGTTGTTGTTTTCATGAGTCATACAGTCCAGTTTGTTCAAACTAATCAAATCTAATGTTCTGGTATGATGGGGCAGCAGGGAACCCGCAAAAAGCAAAGTAGCTTTGATTGGAAAAACTGTGGTTCCACCTTGTGCAGACACATTGTGGAGGTGATTTTAAGTAAATGTGATCACCTTTGGAAAGCCCCCTCCCACACCATAAACACTACCTTCAAAACAACACTCAGGAACAAGCAGCAATTTTATGATTTTCTGTAAAGCCGTACTCTTTATTTGAATGATGTTGTTTGTTGCTCTTACAGGAAAGCTTCATGCTACAGCAGGACCCTCATGACCTCCCCTTGGCTCTGATGAAGAGCGCTCTGAAGAAGAAGGCTACCGTTTTCCGCTTAATGCGACAGGAACCTGAAGACTACACCTTACAGGTCAACGGGAGATGGGATTTCATCTATGGGAAACACCCACTGTGTCAGTTCAAAGTGAGTTGATCGAATAAAATAAACTCTTGGAGCAGAAAATTGTGTGAAAATGCAGCATATTAAAATTTTTTTTACTTTATCACTTTAATTATTTCCCTTTTTTCACAGTTGGTTTTGTTGGTTTAATGACTCAGTCACATTTTTGTACATTATAAGTGTTTCAATACAACTGATGTTAAAAAAAAATGAATGTGTTTGGCAAAAGCTTTCTTATACTGGGTTGGAACAAGGCAAGTTTTTCCCCAAATTCTGGACTGGAAATTTTAGATGTTCGTATTGTGGCTTAGAGGCAAGTCCTGTGTAGGTTTGTCAAATTTTATTTTGGGTTTGTGTTTTTGTTGGATGATAATTCCCAAGAGTCCAATTTTCTTTCAGGCTCATTTTCTGCCATGATAGCTTTTGTATTTCGCTTCTAGACGTGTTGCAGAGAGGCATAAAAACGTGCTAACAAATAATCAGCACAGATGTCATTTTTCTTTCTGTTTTGGCACAAAGAAGTGTTTCAGAGGGCAACTAGGGGCCTTTATCCTCCTCGTTCCTGTGGACATGTGCTAGACTCAGTATGAACTATTCTACCTAATTTATTTCATATCAGCGTCCGTCTTTAAAAAAAAAAATACACATGCTCTTTGACATATTAACCCACAGCGCCTTTAAGATGAAGGTTTATCTATTTATTCACAAACTGAAAAACGAACTGTGAAAAGTTGGACTTTCTCTGCTGATCTTTGTTGAAACTGTGAATTACATTCTCTATATTCTAGACGAGTTGTTGTTTTCTCTGTGAATGTGTGCGAGTTTCTGTTTAGTGTCGTTTGTCTGCGTTCAGCCTGTGCAGGTGGGTCCATAATAACTGAAATGACTGTCAGTTAGGAGTAGGCTAAGTCAAGATTTTGGTGGCCGGAGACTCCACTGTTGATTTTGAAACTCCAACTACCTGCAGGGGTGACTCATATCTGTATAGCAGCCCTGCAGAAAGGAACTGCATCCATCCACACATAATGAGATTTGAGCTGCATTAACCTACAGCAAATGAACAGCCTTCAGGAGCTAACCAGCGCTATCAGAACACTGGGAAATATCTGTGGGTGAACTGACTGATGGCTGTGCCAGTAAATCGTCTGTTGTCTCTCTCCTCAGTACATCTTCTCGTGCTTGAGAAATTGCCAGAACCCCCACCTCACCATGGTGCACTACTCCACCGTCACCAAATGTCAAGAGGAGCAGGGCAGAATGTGCAGCCAGGTGTACAAGAGTCGCTCCTTATCCAGACCTCCTCCTCTGCCACTGAAGAAGGTGAGAGGTCAGGCGGTAGCTGTCGTTCATTAAAAGAGGAGCACGTGCTCTTTTTTTCCCCCCCTTTTCTCTTTTCTCGCAGTTGTTACTCGACTAGCCTGCGGACTTTGGCACACATGAAATAAGTCACGCAGCTCGGTGTAGATAATTTACATCTGACGGCTTGTCTTTCATTTGCTATAGTTGCGCATGCAGCGTACGTTGGAACTGCTTCAGCATAATAAAAACCATCGTTTTATAATGTTTTGAAACTTTTATCTGAAGCTCATCAGATAAGCAGCTAAAAATCTTTTGGCAGTTTTCTTCAGTTAGAAAGCCCCCCCCCAACTTTCTTTTGAAAGTAGATGTTACTTTGCGTCTACCCTCTTTTCATTTTTTTGAGTTGTTGCCAAACAGGAAATTGGAGCAACTGTGTGAATGCAAGGCAGTGAGAAATTAAATTCCCTTTTTTCCTCTGACTTCTTCCTACAGCAAAACACCTCCTCTCTGTGGTCCATCAATGAGCCTTTCCACATTCACCTGGTGCAAGGCAAACGAGTCAATGCAGACGAGGGAATGAAGGTCGGTGTGGTTTCGCGTGGGTTTTCTCTCACTTTGCTGCTCAATGAAATGTGGCATTCACTTGTTTACCAATATCTCAATTTCAGTTGTAGGAACAGCGGGGCTGACATGTAAATGACAAGGGGGGGTCACATGGTACAGACCACACATTTCCCATAATTCATCAAGGCGGTTGGTTAAAACTTCAAAACAGGAAGTGGGGAGTGTCTATCTGGTTTTTACGTCTCATTCTGAGGCCTAGATTCTAAGAAAAAAGACAGACTACATGCTCTCCCTCTTTCGCTTTCAAATGCACTTCTTTTTTTGAAGGCGTTGCATGTTACTATTGCAGACGGGCTCCTGACCTATCTCAAAATTTGACAACTGTCAGTGAGCGTACGAGAACAGCCAAAGGATGTGGAAACATCCGCTGATACTCCATGCTCGCCCTTCCGTGTCAGAAGAAAGAGTGAAAGAAAGAGTGGGAACTCTGTTAATGTGTGTCTGCCTTTGTAATTCTGTTTCATAACTAACTACATTACTGTTTGGATGGGTTATTAAGTGCAAGTGCACTCCTCGGTGCTGCTGCCTTAGAGCATCATGACTCATGACTAATTTTTCCTGCCGCATAATTATCAGTCATGTCTGTGGATGGCAGGCAGAGGTTTGAAAACACAACCCCTGGAGGGAAGGGGGGAAATCAGCTCATATATTTTGTAAATGTTAATTCGGACTATCTTGATTTGGCGAAAGGCAGGAGCTTAATGGTCGTGCAGTATTAAATTACGTCTCTGGCGGTTGTTTTTTCATTTGTGTCTGACTCTGCACGGAGACCTGTTTGCGCTTACGAATGTGTAAACTCTTTGACTCATAGCTCGAATTACACAGGAAACTCTGAATCATCTCGTGAAGTCTGTAAATCTTCCACAAACAATCACCTTCACACTAAAGTGCTAAAGTCTTCGGCTTCCAAACCACATGTCTTGCCTCCATCTAATCACTACTGTGTATCTGTGGTTCCCCTGCAGCTTGTAGTGCAGGCTGGTCTGTTCCATGGCAGCGAGCTGCTCTGTAAGGTGGTGACGAGCTCGGAGGTGACAGTGAGCTCCGAGCCGCTGTGGAATCAAAAGCTGGAGTTCGACATAAACGTGGCCGACCTGCCCCGCATGAGCCGCCTGTGTTTCGCGCTCTACGGCGTCATTGAGAAGACCAAGAAGCCCCGGGGCACCAAAAAGAAGAACAAGAAAGCGGTGAGTGTGTCAGTAACTTGTGGTGCTTTTGGGGTCTCGGCGTACTACTCGTTCGATTGAGCAGGCCAGTGTTTTGGGCTGGTGGTGTGAATTTGTTCGCAAGCACAAACAGATCTGTTTCCTCTCTTGTGTGTAGTGCGTGTAGCTTCTGTGTGGGTCTGTTGTTTCTGCTGCGTCGGGTTGTGCAAGTGTGCTTAGTGGCAAGGCTGCGGTTAACACTTCATCCGCTTCAGCCCTTTTATCTGCACATCGGTCCAAGGAAGGAAGGAATTGGCTAACATTTTCAAGGAATTCTAAATTCATCTTCACAGCCCTCATCTCTCTCTCTCACACACACACACACACATATATATATACACTTAGCGTTTAACCTTCTAAATTTACATGCTCGCTGACAGCTTAGAGGGGGAGGGGGATTAAGACATTACAAAGCAATTTTATCTACAGCAGGGCTTTGCAACATGTTGTTGATTAACAAGCATGAATTCAGAAAAGCCAACGAAGAGAAAGGCACAAGAAAAGAAGAAAAGTGCACACATTAAATCCATGTAGCTGGATTTACACCTGCACCTCTTCTAGTTGTTTTAACAATTGTTCAGCTGCATTTTCAAAGGTTTATTCTGCTGTAAGGGCTGCAGCAGAAGACAAACGCTCTCTTTGATTGACTCTTTGCTAGTATATCGCATTACGACAAAAATTGAATGAGTGGAGGAGTGCACTAATGGGCCACGCAAACGGCTACATTTTTTTAAAGATATATATCAAACTGAGGATTAAAGACCTACTTCCCACTGATGTTTTAGGCAAACAAACACAACACAGGATATATATATATATATATATATATATATATGGCAAAGCATGCAAAAATGATGGGAAATTACATTTTAAAGAGTGGAGCACATAGTAATAATGGTGATAATATAAAAAGCATTGTAATCGTTTGCACAAAGCTTTACCGCTTGTGATGAAGTTTTATTTCTAAACAAAAAAAATCAGAATAATTTGTGGTTTAACACTAAGATGAGCACATAATTGTTTAGCTACAGCTCCATCATTGAAAATAATTAGTTTTGACTATGAAGTATGTGATACGAGGGCGACACTTCAGTGTAATTGTTAAACTGAAAAATTAAGGCTGATCAGGACACCTGAAGGTCTGCGAGGCAAACACTCCAAGAAAGAGTCATTTGTTTGCCAAAATCCAGTCAGCAACTGAACGCTGGTTTAGCTGACTGGGTTCAGCAGGACATTTTGTAGGACAAGTATTTTGTTTGGCTAATGCAAAAAGTTCAGATCTGCCCAGAATCCAATTACAGTGTGTCTTCCCCTGTGTCCTGACACAAGGGAGGCCCAAAAATATAGTTTAAAAAAAGCACAAAATGTAGATACTAATGACAATAACACCTGATCTGACATTAATGCACCAATTATCTTTAAAACATTTATTACATTAACTGCTGAATCAGTCATTCAACTGACAGAAATTCATGAGCAGCTACTAATTATTAGTAATTTAAGAGAATTTATGCTTTTCTTTTCTATATAACAAGACGTTTCCAGCATAGAGAGATTTTTAAACTTTTAACCTGAGGGGAAAAAACATGCTTTTGATAAAATAAATTAATTAATTGACACTGATGCCATACACATTTCTGTTTATGGTCAAAATGACAAATATTTGTTAAAAAAGCTCCACTCGGTATGTTACTAGCAAACAAATTAAGCGCTTTGAAGATGCGATTTAAAGATGAAACTGATTTAATCAGCGGTTTAATCTGTTTAAAAGCTTTACCTCTCATTTTATTAATACATGCAAAATTTAATATGTTACTTTAACTATAAGCAAGTTGGATTAAAGGGCTTCAGCAGCTTCTTCTTTTATGTCATATAAATGAATATAAAATATGTCCTGTTCAGGACGGTGCACAGCTGCTACAGTGGTGGCAGTACACTCAAATACCACATTTGAAAGAGCCCCCACAAACCTCCCCTGTATACAACGAAAGGTACAGTGAACAAGAACAACAAATTCCCCTTTTACTGTAGTCGCAGTATCTTCTGTTTTGAAGCGACGCAGCAGCTGTGCGCTTGAGTTTGTGCAGACCTCCAAAACATGTAGCCCAGGTGTGTTTTATGGCCATTAAGACCACTTCTGCTTTCTGAGCCACTTCTCTCTTTGTTTGCCTGGAAGAGAAGTCCTGCAGCCAGACGGCAGAAAGGCAGGCGGAAGTTGAGCTATTTTAGCCGCTCTTGTTTATGTGCACCGCCTTTTTCTCTTCTTTTTTTTTTTTAACTTGAATGTGTTAACTGTGTTTTTGTTGTTTTTAACACACCGAAATAATGGAAGTCATTTTTCTACTGATTTCCTGGAACCCAAATTCCCTTTTTAGAGAACTTTAGAAGTTAGAAATACAAACGAATCACTCTCCTAACGTTTTATTGTCATGTTTTTGGAGGCGGTTGTAAGTCTAACGGTGAATTAAATTAAATATACCAAAATCAAGGATCAGAGTGTTTATTGCAATTAGAATATTAAAGTTTTGAATTCAAGTGAAGCTTTAAAATAAAGCACATGTTGGGCAGGAGATGGTTAATTATTCAAAGCATTTTAGATTAAAGAATAAAAAAGCTTTGCCTTTAGAGAATCTTGATTTTAATTTTTCATGATGCAAAAAAAAAAAGAAAAAGATTTCCCAGTCAAACGTTTTTATCTTCAGAGAGGAAAAGAGCTTGAAATATAAAAGATTTTTATTGCCCAAGTATTGCACATGATTTTATTACAACTGAGGAAACATAATTCAGCTCAGAGGTTCGTTTTCCTCTGTACATCTTTTACATTCTCAGTTTTAAACCATTTCCAAGATCCTCAAGTTTGAAGATGGTGTGTGAAGTGAAACTTTGTCTTTTCAGGATTGTCCAATAGCCTGGGTGAACACCATGGTGTTTGACTACAAGGACCAGCTGAAGACTGGGGAGTTCCACTTATCCACATGGCCGTCTGTTCCTGGTACTTTTCAGCCTTGCCTCTTCTTACATATTCCTCCTCTTCAAAAAATAAAAAAAAACACCTCCTCCACAACACTTTGAAGCACACAGAGAGCTTCTGAAATGCCCGGAGTGACACGTCTTGCCACCCAAATCACACATAGTGACACATTTTGTGTTTTATGATGCAATAAGATAGCCTGTTTGCAGATGCTGAAGTACCTGTTTGCCAGGCGGGGGAGTGGTTTTTTTAGACGAAAGACTAAAAACTGAGAAGAAGATTCCACCAAATGGAACATTTCATCATTTCATATATGATATTTTTATCACAGATGAGAAAAGTGACCTGCTGAACCCGATGGGAACTGTTGAGAAGAACCCTAACGTGGACAGCGCCGCTGAGCTTCTCATTCATTTCCCCAACATCCGGCCACACCCCCTCTACTACCCTCCACTTGAAAAGGTACTATCTCCCAAAAGACTACACAAAAAAAGTTACAATTAAAACAAAAAAGGTGAACTAACGTGAAGTACAGTGTAAAATTTTATTAAATTTAATGGAATATAGTTAAATGAAATTTCTAGGATTTGTATACATTCAGTTTATAGCAAAAAAACATTTTCTTTAATGATGAATTGTTTGAATAAGTCATTTTATGATTTTATGTATTTCATTTTAATTTTACACAGAATTATTGTTTCATGTTTATTGAGGCTGAAGTACATATTTGGATCTTTGTTTGATGACAGTCAGTTCAATCAATAATCCTCATGTGTTGTCAGATATGTGACATGGAGAGGAACGGTGATCTAAGTTTAGCCACTAAAGACGAGGTAGGACTCACATGTGACAAATTTTTCATAGTTAGAATTTTTGTTTTGTTTTTAAAGCAGAAAATTTAATAACTTTGTGTGTGGATCATGTGCTCTCTGTAGCACTCTAAGCTCAAACAAATCATGGACAACAAAAACTACACCGAGTTTTTCGAGGACGAGAAAGAGCTCCTGTGGAAGCTCCGCACCGAAGTCCGCGATCATTATCCTGAAAGTCTGTCCAAGCTCCTCCTCATCACCAAGTGGAATAAGCGTGAGGATGTAGTTCAGGTACGAGTAAAGCGTTATTTATTCTTTGTATTTTTCACTGATGTCTGTAAGTCGATCTGGAGATGTAAAACCTTTTGTTTCAGATGATTAGCTTAGCTTTAAGGGTTAAAGTGGCCAAAATTTCAAACAAGGAGTGAACGAATCACAAAAAAGCTCAAAGAAGTCAAATTTTCCATCTGAAATGATAGTCTATATAGGATTATTGATTAAAACTGGGAGAAATACTTTGTAGTGTATTGTATTATATTATTATATTGTATATGTATTCTTAGTTTTTTATATACAGACAACTAATAGTTTATATTGGGTGTTTTATTTTGTTTTAGCAAACGTCCATGAATGCCAGCTGTACTTCATTATTTTACACTTTCAAAATAAAGTTCTATCTAGAAAACAGGCAACCACGAGCTCTGATCTATGTAATATAATATTTATTTATAATATTATGTTGGATATATTTACCAACCACAGAGGTCTTGCAGTAAACCTTTGTTGTAACAAGAGCAAGAAAATATGTGACTTTACAGGTTTTTGGAGCTTCAAAACTAAGGAATGTTTTATTTTTTATAGTGAATCATGCAAAATTATAGTAATGTCACTGCCGCTTAAAGAAATATCGAGTTGTGAATTAACATCAGCAGCCTGCTTTAATCTTCAAATTGTCAAAATCACCTTGATTTTTCTCATCATGTTAGAAAATAATTATTGGATTCTCCTCAGATGGTGAATTTACTGAGGAACTGGCCAGACGTCCCTGCCATCCACGCCTTGGAGCTCTTAGACTACAGTTTTCCCGACCCAGCGGTTCGTTCCTTCACTATCAGATGCCTCAGAAAGCTCAGGTACACACACATCTGTTTCAGAAGCTTACAG